TTGAAATCTGAGGCGATGAGGGAGTGGAAATTCCAGAGGTCAGTATCTATATTTCCGATGCTCGTTCCGTGCCTTGGTACTATAACCGTTGACCAATCGATGAAGCGCGTTAGGCACCAAAATTGAGACCTAGAATAGATCGAAGCCTGTCTGCCCGATTTCTGTTATCGTGTAGGGAAATAGATCCGCTTCTAACTTGCCCGACAGACTTCTTTCATCACCTATCCACCCGTACTTAATTCCTGAAATTATCATCGTTTTCATTAAAACATACCCATTCCTGCGCAATGTATCAACAAACTGCTTCCGGTCCGCTCTTCGCTATTTGACGCAACTTGCCAAGAAATCAAACAACCTTTACTTAACCTCTCCACTTTCTTAAAGTCAAAGATGAAGAATTCTTGTTTCATCCGCTGTCAAGATGGAGCGGATGTGTTGATCTGGTTGTCTCCTATACCAGCGATAAGGTTGGACTGGCACTTCCACCCGTTCATCCATATGGGCTCATGTCTGATGTTGCATGTAACTCGATGGCATTGTGGCGTGGCTCAATAACAGTCGACCTCTGCAGATTAGCCGAGTAGAATACTATTTTGGTACCTCCGGCCATTGTAATCAAGTCTCAAACTGTGTTCAGAATCTCCTGATGTCACCAAATCGCTTGCAAAAAGGCTGACACTTTACTTGCAAGTTGCACATTACCTGTTGGAGATGTGACAAATGTGAAGAGTACCACAGCCACGACGCCATAGCCGCATGGCCACCGACTGCTTTGCCAATGACTGCTTTGTCCCACTCGCACATATATACTGCCATGGACATTCAGTACCCTCAGTTCGTTGACACGTTCTGAGGGTACGTCTTCCCTAAATACTTACACATGCACATATTTATTAACTACCAATACCTAGAATTAACTTACGTGTTATTTACTAGGTATTCATCAATACAGTTCGTTGACACGTTCTGAGGAATTAACTTACGTGTTATTTACTAGAAAACAAGCAAGACTGGTCAAATTCTATCATTGCCTGGATGTGGTTCATTTGCGTAGTACTGCGAGACCCCCAACTAGGTAAGTTTGCATTTTGGTTACTAGTCCCTGATGCATTGAAGGTGTTTGTTCCTGGTATGGGGAGAGAACTCTACTCAACACTAACATTCCGTCACCTCCATTAACCTTCGATCTGTACAGGGGACATAGGCAGATCTAATCCAACCATCCTATCAACAGCTCGATTGCAGTTGCCTATGTACGGTCTTATATTGACGAGAGTTACAGAATTCTCAAAATTTTTGAGCTCAGATGGGCGAAATACACGAAAGAAACAACCCTCTGAACTGAATATTGAATATTTTTGTCTATGTTAAACGGTGTCTTATTGGAAGGCCACCGTAGTCTCAATTCATGTCACAAAAGAGGTAATCGAGAAGTACCGCCTCCGCCACTAAGCAAAGGGTCAGCGTTCAAGTTCAAATAGCCTCTAACATCTATCCTTCGAGAATCCAGAATAGTCTCCTGAGCAACTTGAAGGTTTGGTCGATCAAAATGTACCTTCTCATGACCGTCAAGAAATATCGAATGTTGTGGGCTGGTGAGGGTGGCGTAGACGCCCGGGGAATGTACATACAAGGGAACGGCCCGGATCCGCAAAGAGCCCGCTTCTCTCACAAATCTGGGAGATATGCCTGGACCAGAGGACATGCGTAAGCAAAGGCCATAGATTCAATGACATTTCAGCTCAGCTGCATTTCTATCGGACAACACGATCAACCAAATGTGACATCTGCACCTAATTATACAAATTTTGCCGACTACCGCGTTACTAATATGAACACTTACAATTGCTTCCAAATCTGCTGCCCTAATCGCAGAAGGATCTTTCCATACACCATAAGGCAGTTGGATATGTATACGAATTGCAAATCAAAGATCATCAAAACCAGGTACGCCACCGATATCATGGCCAGTCAAGCTACGAAGTACGTCTGCCCAAGCGCAGCACATACCCGCAGAGCCCTCATACAAGCTCCACGGACGATCGGGGTTCCTCATTTCCCCATTCTTCGTGAGCTTCTCGAAATCAGCTGCTAGTACTGCAAGGTGCACTGCTCTCCGCAGCTGCTTAGACGTTTCATCGGTCAGTGGAATCAGTGGGCCATTATGTGTTGTGTGTGCGTCGAGGACTCGAGAGGCAGCCAGGAGTGCATATACGGATCCTGCGACCCCGTGACACACCCCGACACCCTTCGTGAGCAGACCATGGTGATAAACGATGCGGGCCCCTTTGCGTATTGCAGAATTAACTTTCTTAAGCAGCGTTTCATCGAGAATGATACCACTTCGTTTCAGAGATGCTCTCGATAACAGCATGAGCATTCCGGTGGCTCCGTGACACCATCTAGGTAGAAAATTGGCGAGGATCATTGACATGGTATGAAGATATCTCACTGGACCAAATCGTTCTTGTGCTCAACTACAGCACCATCAGGCGCCTTGGAAGGCCAGTTGCCCGCCGGATCTTGAAGATCGACAAGCCACTCGAAGGTTCGCACGAGATCTCCAGAATATGGCTCCACTACACTGAAAGGGCAGTTCCATAGAACGAACAGAATACCCGCTATCCTCATTTAAACTCTCACTCGCGAGACCAACAAGAAGAAGAGAAAAGCGTACCTAAACCATGCGCAGCTCCAAGGTATCTTTTTCCGTGCCAGGTCCACATCAATGGCGGGATGGGCTTATCGGAATTTGTTTTAAGTCGTACAGCGTAATCTGCAGCGCCTTCCCTTCCTATATCAATCATCGAGTCGACTACAATTCGTAAGACGTCGTCGCTAGTAAGATCTTTAAGCGCCATTAAGTATGTTGCATCAGCAGAAACGGAAGTCGAAGCTCGTGCTTTCAACAGTCCGTTACGGATACGCAGGAGTGCATATAGAAGCCCTGCACGGCCGTACAACACTTCACATGCATCTTCCTTGGAGTTCTTTACACTTTCAACGGCTGCTCGTAAGTGCCCAAGACAGTATTCACAACCCTTGAAGAAAGGAGTCTGGTTTGAGGATCCATTTGATTCGAGAAGACGGAGCAGTACAAGAGTGGCAACACCGACATCCGTCTCCAGAAAGGAAACATACGAGGGTGACACTTGTTTCCTACTCTTCGAAATTGTAGAATTCATGCAAGCAAGAAGCACTTGGTCCCCTGCAGAGACAAGAGAGGAGTACGAGTGGTCCGTGCGCAAGACTGCAGACTTTGAAAGATGATGTTCCAGCAGCGCAATGCCTATCGGCCGAATCGCAATGTCTTACCCGTTATTCTCAAAAAAGTGCAGTACATCATTTACCTGCGAGACCCACGTAGACGCCTCTACTGGAATCCTGATGGCCGTGTTGTAAGATATTCTGGAAAGTGAGACTGAGCGCGGAAGAGATGCTGTTTATTGTATATTGTAGTTGTTGGTCATTATCCAGATTTGGAGCATTCTTGGAATGTGCGATATAGCGCGAAGTCATTTTGTTAGATGTTTCTATCGTATGCGAATGACTATAAAGATGACAAGGGAAATTTGGTAGTACAAGAAGTGGAAAGGAGTACTCGGGAACATCCGACGATATTGCATTGCTATGTAAGTCCTGTCATTGAAACTCACCAGATTGAATCAGTACATATACAATGTAAGTATGGGTATTTTTCTGCAAGTCTCGAGTACGTAAGTATCGATAAATTAGTTGTCCTGACCAGGAACAAAAGTAAGCGTTGCATTGCTAATCACTATGAAAAGTATCGGCTGGGTCGTATTTTCCATTCGTTCGCCTTGTAGATACCAAGATGGGTATAAATGTCCGGCTTGAACCCAATCTTCCAGCGCACTCCAACTCTCCTCAGCGATTCTCTGACCCTGCCTACCTCTGCTTCATCACTGTAATCTTCCACGTACACGCACACGACATGTAGCTCCCCCGGGCGCGCAGGTGACACCTTCGCGCGCGCTCCAACTCCTGGGGGCGCATTTGCGATAACCGCCGTAACGATGCGTGACCACAGTTCGTCAATCTTGTGCGACTCCGCGTAGATAAGCCACTTCCCAGATAGTACACCATATGCGAGCGCAAGTGCATCCAGAGCCTCAACCGTCACCATGGGATTTGCTGTGAAACATTGTAGTGCATCCTGTCCTTCAATCCCCTGCTGTACGACTGCCAGGTCCGCTGCACGCTGCTTCAGGATCTCCCATTCTCTCGAGAGGCCAGCTAAATCCTGAATTTTCTGTGGGTTGGATTGGGGTCCGCGTTCCACTGCAATCCAGGCTGCAAAGGTATCAGGAGTACGAGAGGGTGGCCATCGGGCCAGGTATGATGCAACTTCTATTGGTTTCGGATGTTCATCCCAGATAGCAACTATGAACGCAGAGGAACCGTCGTACACAAGCTCACTAGGGAGTGGGGCAGCGACGGGAGAAGGAACTTGAAGGTCAGAAGACATATCATGATCATCATCGATCATGATGTGCTGGATGTATGAAGAGGTTTGATGGGTCCGATGGTAAAGAAGAGAGTGGCGTAGTCGAGTAGATTAGAGTCATCCTTGGTCTTTGGGGTTGATTCTTTATCGCTTTCCTTGCTATCTGATTTGGATTTGATGAGAAGTTTGAATGCCGCGGACTTATGGTGCCTGTCACAGGTCACACGCACGAGTGACGCGCACCCGTAAAGAACATTTGAAAATCCCTTTGCCCTCTGAAGTCGTTCAAATTCATATCGACTTCTTATATCTGTCACAGAGTATATTAGCCTAGTGGGTTAATTACGTATATCGCTTGCCTGAACCTCGATATAAGAAACGAGGTGAATTGATGACGTAATTCGTCGGACGTTGAATCTATAAATCAAAATTTTCTCCCTTTGATATTTCACACAGCTCGGAGAGTTGTGGAGCATATATGTTTGGTCCTCAATTACACGCATGTCATACGGGCCCTGACCTTGTGGCACCATCGGATATGGTGTAACGGCTAACATTGCCGCCTTTCACTTGCCTTGGCACCTGTCTACGCGGCAGCTCGGGGTTCGATTCCCCGTATCCGAAGGGTTTCACATTTTTTCAAATGGCTCTGAGAACATCCATTCCACGTCGAACCGGCTAAGTTAGATATGATGTACACATATATCGTTATCTTGCCTCGCATCCGTTTGATTTTCTATCGTACCTACAACCACATTCGAAACACAGCGCCCATATATTCGGAATACAAACCAATCCGGTGATCTTCGAAAAAGTTCAAGTGAGAGATTCGGTCTAATGACATACTGGCGGGTTGCAGACCGAGAATGTCACAGGAAACCGGAGCCGTAGGGCGGTCATATGCGAGACGGTTAGAAATGCAAGGCATTCCCTTTATGTGGATAGATTGTACACACAGCCAGAGACATGGAGTTTTCGACGAAATGGAAGATAGAAGGAGTTGGTATTGCATCTAGAGTATGAGTCAGCTGTTACACCTGTAGTTCTCCGAGTTGCACCAACGTAAGGATCTACATCAAACAAGTAGATCCAATGGACATTGACTTTGAAATTTTCAAAGCTAACTCCATGGCATTTTGCTGAGCGAGATCAAGATTGATTTCCAACCACCTGTTCCTTCCAGCTAGAGAAAAAAGCAAAAATGCCACGAAGCTTGCTAGAGACCATTTTCAATTCTCGAATGTGCTTCCATCGAAAAACGAGAGAAGTTGGCTGCGGGTGATCATTATTTCATGAAGAATCAGTAACATAAAATCAAAGGTTTGACATTCCCGTGCGTTTCAAGTTTGAGAATTGCATGCCTTTATAGGGTCCTCGGATCTTCATCAGACTAGGTTAACCTGTTGACATGTTAGCAGTCTAAGAATCGCAAATGAACGTCCTGAATCTCGGATTGACAGATGATTCATAAGTCTAACAGGACTTGATGACAACCCAAAAACCACTGCTCACTCCCTGAAATTAGGTTACCAGCAGGAGATCTGGGTAGATACAGCAGGTATTGGAGCACCTCGTCAGAAGGTATGAGAGCAACTCGTCAAAAGGCATCAGAGCACCTCGGATAGGAGTAAAGGTACTTTTAAGGAATGAGACGCGCACGCCATACATTTTCCCATGTGAAACCTGTGTCATAACCCATATAGTATAGGACAATCATCCCGTAGGATTAAATGGTCCCTGGCTAGATTTCGGAAGAGGCGCACGCTGGTTATTCAAAGCTGAAATGTAATTTCCCCACTCATCCAACCTACAATCATCGATAAGAAACGATACTCTTAAGACAAGACGACTTACTCGAAAGAGGCGGGCGCATTAGACCAGATGAACGCCTGATCGACATTCGAGGCCAAACCTACCGAAGGATTCAACCCGAGTCCAATGTCCCCCGTTCTTTGCCTGAGACCCATATCGACATCCAGATTCATAGTCCCAACACCCTCTCTACTTGTTTGATACGAATACACAGATCCTATACCAGGTCCCGCTCCGACAGCTCTGGCGGGGACAAGCGATGCCATTGCACAGGGATCGTTACCGTATATTGCTGGTCCAGAACTCTGGCCAAAGGCAGGAACACTCACTAAGGGCTGCACTTGTAAAGAAGCATCAGAGCGATGCCGGACGTATGTATCATACTGCTCTTGAGTGGTCTGCGACACGGACCGGTTAGGCCAGTACTGCTGGGGGTCTGGTGAAAGTTGCGGGAGTTGTTGCTGTGGGGGCTTGCGATAATCAATATCATACTGCGGTGTATGCGACTGAGGTGACGCTCTTTGCTGTACTCTGGTATTGCCCTTCGGAGAGATGGAATCTGCCTCTTTCTTCATCCGCCTGGCTAAATGTCCCACTGTTTTGGGCACGTACTCGTCGTCGTCATCCGTAGCATCTTGCTTGCGCTCGCGCTTGGGAGTAACGGACGGTGAATTCGACCTACGTTGTGGTAGTTGCATGTCACCAACGGAGGCAAGTTCATGGAGGATGTCGCTTGGAGAAGATCAACAATGTCGTGTGTATGGACAGGAAAGTATGTACCTGAGACGGCCAGCAAGGTACCATCTATGTGTGAAAAAAAGTCCAATACTTGAGTCGCAGGAAAAGTAGATCGAGAATATACACACCTAACCTCCGCAAGTGCCAAAACATCCATACACCTCCTCACATCCATCATTTCCCTATCAAAATCTGTTGTAAGACCCGATCGACGCCCACCCCACATACTGAGTAGCAGGATCACACCAGCCGAGAATGCTGTCGTCTGCATAGATCCATAAAATGAGGGAATGGTTGGCATCTTCACATGAACCGATGAACCACAAGAATCAGATACTTACCGTCAAAGGCTGTGGTGCGGGTCCAGACCTCTTCCTCTGGATGTCCAAGGCCCTGCTACAAGCCCTTGCAGCATTCGTACAGATGGCAAGGGAAGGGAACGAAAGTGCGTTATCGGGTTTGTTCGGGGTGGGGATGAATGGTCTATGGACAAGGATTTGGATATGTTGGTAGAAACAGTAGAGAGAAGCTGATTGATTAAGGAATACTTCGTCTGGACGCGTGGGATCCCAGCGGACTGATGGAGATATAGTATTCAGTCGCTAAGTCGATGGAGATATAGGGAATTTGAAGGACATACGATGATCGGGGAGTTTGACCATCCAAAATTCCAGGGCAGAGTCTACTTCGGAAACAATGGTTTCTTCCCATTGTTGTCCTACGAAGCCATAGAGGATTCGTGACTTGTTGGTAGCATACTGGTGTGACATGGGATTGGATTAAAACAATAGACAAAGAATCAATTTTGACTTCTTACAACTGTCCTCAGCAGGAAAGCCAGAATTCGATTCAATTTGATATACCAAGTGAAATACGCAACAATGGAAGGAGTTTTTTCCGGTGTTGGTTGGCGCCAGCGAAGATTTGGGTCAGAATGCTCCCAGTAGTCATCGTCGCATTCTACAGGCATGTCAATGTCGAAACTAAAACCTTGTAAGCCAGATTGTTATGTCTAGAGAGATACGACGAAACTCCTCATCCTGGATTGAACATGGCCTCCCAAGAGATGAACTGAATAGCCGATCCATGCATATCAGGACCCTATATTTAATGATACATATGAGATTGATTGAACTGGCATCAAAGACAACTTTTTACCAGAATGCTCGGTTCCACAGCTCATCCTCCACTGTGTGTTCTTCCTTGAATTTGTGTCGATGCGCACCAACATCTTGCGCGATACGAATACCTATTCCAACAACTGTCCAACATGCTTGTGGTACGGATGAGGCTTGAAGAAACTGTGCGACGAGCTGTAAGTAGTAATGAGCACCGATACATCTCGACAGACACGGTGAAGAACCTACAGCATAAAATTGAAGATCGTATAAGTTGGGCACACTGATCGACACCGTCTTCATTAATGGCACTTGCCCAAACCATTTCCAGCCGCTAGAATGTGGGTCAGGCTTCCCGCCAGATTCCTTTGGCTCATCCATTACACGGGGATCATCGGAGTACTTCGCTGCTACTGCACACACCAACAAAAGTGTTGCGGCAAACGAAGCGTCAGTATAATGTAGGCCCGAATTAACGGCGCGTTCGAGTGTAGGGCGGTGCAAGAGTGGAAGGTATCGATTCATGTGTTTGAAGTAGAGGTCAATGAGAGCTTCGATGAGGTCTGGATCAGGGAATTCAAAATCAGGAGTCTGCATCGGGGTAACGGGTAACGGGTCGGTGTACTTTATGAGGAAAGTGAGCTGATCCTTGGGAAATACATGAACAGGTTGTTAGGAGGATGACTTACAGGGCGTATCACATTCTGTTGACGAGTGACAGGACCAGAATTACCCAGATAGATACATTTCATCTCCAACGCGAGATTGATGAGCATAATCCCACTTGACTTGCCAAGATATCGAGGTTCATCTAGGGATATGTGCATCTGGTCAAAGTCATCCATCAAGAACTTAACAGATTCCTCCTCATCCAACGCAGGCGGCGGACTTTTACCGCTTCCAAGATGACGGATGAATCGTCTCGGAAAAGGGTCATACGAAGGCAGTTCTGGTCTCAGAGGATTGTGAGTAGGCACTTGAAGAGGGGCGGTCGAACTGATGTCAAGCTGTTCTAGAGCTTCTGGCGATATCTGCCGAGATCAAGACAGTTAGGGTCTGAGACATGAATAGAAACCGGATTAATCACCCTTCCTATCAATTCTTGTAACTTTCTGACACGGTTCTCCAGTCGTTCAATATACCTGATGAAAAATATTCAATACTGAAAATAGATGTTTGAAGAAGAGATGACAGACAATTTCGGGGGGCCACGCTTCTGTCAGACGCAGAGTCAGCATAGGTATCCAGAGGACGAATCTGTTCAGTTACCTTGGCACTCTCAACATAAGTACATTCCAGTCCGTAGTCAGTACAATTCGTACACTGTTGGCCTGGCATCTGGACGCCATCGCCTGGATTGAAAGACAGATCTCAGAACTTCCATACGGACGTTATACTTCAAATTTGGCGTACATCGAACTGTAAAGAGTCAGAAACAATAGAAATATTGATAAAACTTGAGAACATACTCTTCTTCCTACGACAAACATCGCAGGCGCGCTGAAGTTTACGCCGCTTGGCAGTAGAGCCTATGCGCACTTGTCCTTCTTCGTCTGAGGACATACCACAATGTTCGATGGTAGAGTGCACCTGAAGTCCACTGAGACAGATAGAGCTTATGTAGCCTCGCGACGCAGGGTAAGGGATTCAGAAAAAAAAGGTAGGCACGTAAGTCCTGAGTGGAAATACGTAGGAAAGAAAGTCAATAAAATGAAGTGCGCCTCATCGAAGTGGCACACAACTGAAGGAATCGAAGTGGCGGTCGTCTGCCGACGGTAAAGTTCCGTGAAATTCAGCTAATCACCGCCATCCCCTTTTGGAATTCGTATCCCAAAATGTCAGACCTTTTTGGGTTTCATGGTCCAAAACACGGGATCAACTTCGACAAAGAGGGAGACAGAGCGAATGTGAGGTGAGGTGACCTAAGGGACCATCCCATAAATGTATTGATTGAAG